GGTTGCAGTGACCTGAGATTGCACCACAGCACTCCAGTCTGGACAACAGAGCAAGACTCTGTTTCAAACAAAACAAAACAAAACAAATAGATGATGCCATCATTACAGGAAGGAGGCAGGAGGACCCCTATCTTGGAGTGATGTGGGTGACTCCATGGGGTGCCATTTCTGCACAGAGTCCATTGTCCAGATGGAAGGTGCTCAGCTAGATCTTTTAATCTTTTCCTGAAATTGCAGCACTTTGGGAGGCCGAGGCGGGTGGATCACGAGGTCAGGACATCGAGAACATCCTGGCTAACATGATGAAACCCCGTCTCTACTAAAAATACAAAAAATTAGCCAGGCGTGGTGGTGGGTGCCTGTAGTCCCAGCTACTCGGGAGGCTGAGGCAGGAGAATGGCCTGAACCCGGGAGGCGGAGCTTTCTGTGAGCTGAGATTGCACCACTGCACTCCAGCCTGGGTGACAGAGTGAGACGCTGTCTCAAAAAAAAAAAAAAAAAAAAAAAAAAAAAAAAAAAAATATATATATATATATGTATATATTTTAATCTTTTAACATTCACTCATTCATCTCATTCCACACATGCTCATTAATTCTTTTTTTGTTCCAGGCACTGTACTGCCCGAAGATGTATAGTTTCTGTGTTCAAGAAGCTTATAGTTGTCTGGGTGTGGTGGCTCATACCTGTAATCTCAGCACTTTGAGAGGCTGAGGCCAATTTCATTATAGTTTAAAGCGGGGCGTGGTGGTTCACCCCTGTAATCCCAGCACTTTGGGAGGCTGGGGTGGGTGGATCACCTGAGGTCAGGAGTTCAAGACCACCCTGGCCAACATGGTGAAACCCAGTCTCTACTAAAAATACAAAAATTAGCTGGGCATGGTGGCACATGCCTGTAATCCCAGCTATTTTGGTGGCTGAGGCACAAGAATCACTTAAACCTGGGAGTGAGCCCAGATTGTGCCACTGCACTCCAGCCTGGGTGACAGATCAAGACTGTCTCAAATAATAATAATAATAATAAAGAAATTTGTAATTTAGAGGACAAGATGGACAATGAAGCATAATGCCATAAATAGATATGTATTTACACATTGTTAGCAGGGTTGATGAAAGCATATATAACAAGGGGATCTATTCTAATTAAAGAACCAAGAAAGACCTCTTTCAGTGTTATTTAAATGAGCTCTGATGGCCTGGTGCGGTGGCTCCGGCCTGTAATCCCAGCACTTTGGGAGGCTGAGGCAGGTGGATCACCTGAGGTCAGGAGTTTGAGACCAGCCTGACCAACATGGAAAAACCCCATCTCTACTAAAAATACAAAATTAGCCGGGCATGGTGGCAGGTGCCTGTAATCCCAGCTACTTGGGAGGCTGAGGGAGGAGACTTACTAAACCCAGGAGACGGATGTTGCGGTGAGCTGAGATCGTGCCATTGCACTCCAGCCTCGGCAACAAGAGCGAAACCGTGGCTCAAAAAGAAAAAAGAAAGAAAAAAGAAAAAAAAAAAAGCGCTCTGATGAATAAATAGGAGTTAGCCAGGTAAAGAGAAGAAGGGAGGGAGGCATTCTAGAAAGATAAAAAAACAGCCTGTGCAAAGGCCCTGAAGAGCAGAGAGCACATTGTTTGATAGAAAGTCACATGGCAGGAGTACAGAAAGCTAGCAAAGAGAGGTGACATGGGCAGGGATCAGATCACGCAGAAATTTTGGTTGTTTCTCTTTTTTTGCCCCCGGAAATATGAGGAAAGGACCAGCTGCAGTAAAAATCCCCTGGAGTGGCCGGGTGTGGTGGCTCACTCCTGTAATCCCAGCATTTTGAGAGGCTGAAATGTGTGGATCGTTTGAGTCCAGGAGCATAAGACTTGCCTAGACCGGGCGCAGTGGCTCATGCCTATAATCCCAGCGCTTTGGGAGGCTGAGATGGGAGGATCACGAGGTCAGGAGTTTGAGACTAGCCTGACCAACATGGTGAAACCCCATCTCTACTAAAACTACAAAAATTAGCCAGGCGTGTTGGCCTGCACCTGTAATCCCAGCTACTCGGAGGTTGAGGCAGGAGAATCGCTTGAACCCTGGAGGCAGAGGTTGCAATAAGCCGAGGTCACGCCACTGTACTCCAGCCTGTGTGACAGAGCGAGACCACATGGCAAAAAAAAAAAAAAAAAAAAAAAGTCGTCTAGCCTGGGCAACACAGCGAAACCCCATCTCTACAAAAAATACAAAAATTAGCTGGGCGTAGTGGCGTGTAGCTGTGGTCCCAGCTACTCGGAGGCTGAGGCAGGAGGATCGCTGGAGCCTGGGAAATCGAGGCTTCAGTGAGCTGTGATGGTGCCATTGCACTCCAGCCTGGGTGACATGGCGAGACCCTGAAAAAAAAATTAGATGGATGTAATGGCATGCACCTGTAGTGCTAGCTACCTGGGAGGTTGAGGTGGGAGGATCGCTTGAACTCAGGAGTTCAAGGTTATACTGAGCTATGACTGTGCCACTGCACTGTAGCCTGGGAGACACAATGAGACTCTGTCTCAAAATAAATAAATAAGACAAAAAAGTAAAGACAAACATTCTGGTATTTATTCTTTTAGACTTTTTTTTGTTTTCTTTCTTTTTTTCTTTTTTAGATTGAGTCTCACTCTGTCACCAGGCTGGAGTGCAGTGGTGCAATCTCGGCTCATTGCAACCTCCATCTCCTGGGTTCAAGCGATTGTCCTGCCTCAGCCTCCTGAGTAGCTGGGACCACAGGCGTGTGCCATCACGCCCGACTAATTTTTTGTATTTTTAGTAGAGATGGGGTTTCACCGTATTAGCCAAGATGGTCTCGATCTCCTGACCTCGTGATCTGCCCGCCTTGGCCTCCCAAAGTGCTGGGATTACAGGTGTGAGTCTCTCTATGTTGCCCGGGCTGGCCTTGAACTCCTAGGGTCAATGAATTCTCCCTTTTGAGCCTCCCAAGTAGGTAGGACTATAGGCATGTGCCACCATTCCACCATGCCTGGTTAGGCTTTCTTTCTTTTTTTTTTTTTTTTTTTTTTGAGACAGGATCTCACTTTTTCACCCAGGCTGGAGTGCAGTGATGTGTTCTTAGCTCATCTCTCGGGCTCAAGCTATCTTCCCACCTTTGCCCCCCAGCGTGAACACAGGTCTGGCCCCTGGCCAGGCTTTTTGATATACACATATACTCAGGCATATGAATCTAGTTTGTTGTTTTTATAATAATGGAACAATTCAGTAATGCTTGCTTGAGTCCTGATTTCCAAGAAAACAATATATCATGGGCATCTTTTCAGGTCGGTGTAGACCTATACAATTTTTATTCTTCTTTTTTATTTTTTATTTTTTTTTTTTTTGAGACAGAGTCTCACTCTGTTGCCCAGGCTGGAGTACAGCAGCATGATCTCCCCTCACTGCAACCTCTGCCTCCCGGGTTCACGCCATTCTCCTGCCACAGCCTCCCGAGTAGCTGGGACTACAGGCGCCCGCCACCACACCCGCCACACCACACCACACCACACTTTTTTTTTTTTTTTTTGTATTTTTGGTAGAGATGGGGTTTCACTGTGTTAGCCAGGCTGGTCTCGATCTCCTGACCTCGTGATCGGCCCACCTCGGCCTCCCAAAGTGCTAGGATTACAGGTGTGAGCAACCGCACCTGGCCTCTTCTTTTTAAAAATAGAGACAGTGTCTTGCATGTTGCTCAGGCTGATCTTGAACTCCTGGGCTCAAGTATTCCTCCCGCCTCAGCTTCCCAAATACTGGGATTGATTACAGGCACGAGCCAATGAGCCTGGCCCCTATAAAACTTTTTTGTTTGTTTGTTTTGAGGCAGAGTTTCATTCTTGTTGCCCAGGCTGGAGTGCAATGGCACAATCTTGGCTCACTGCAACCTCTGCCTCCTGGGTTCAAACGATTCTACTGCCTCAGCCTCCTGAGTACATGGGATTACAGGTGCCTGCCACCACGTCCGGTTAATTTTTTGTATTTTTAGTAGAGACGAGGTTTTACCATATTGGCCAGGCTGGTCTTGAACTCCTGACCTCAGGTGATCCGCCTGCTTCAGCCTCCCAAAGCGCTGGGATTACGGGCATGAGCCGCCAAGCCCTGTCCCCTATAAAACTTTAAATATCTGGATAATGTTTTACTGAATCAATGCCTCCTGCTTTGTTTGCCAATTCCCTATTGACGGATATTTCGGTTGTTTTCAACTTTTCACATCATTACACACGATCTCATGTTCATTTTTTAACATAACAATGTTTATTTTTTTGGAATACATTTTTGTTAGTGGAATTGCTGGGTGATTGACAAATTGTCTAGGTCTAATTCAACATGTTCATACTGTGTACCAAGGGGAGATGTAACGTGGATAGCACCAAAGTCAGGGAAGTCTTTCCGGCTCCTGGTCTGCCGGTCTGCCTTTTTGAAGGCCTTGGACTGTTACAGCCATACCCTGGCCTTTCCCAGGCTTTTCTTTCCCTGGCACGGATGCAGTGTGTGCGGTCAGAGATGGCGAGTTCGAGACCTGTCCGAACCATCAACCCCCAGCCAGGCCCCGCTGCAGCCGCTGCGGTGGCACTCCCAGCCCCTGGGAATTCATCCCCAGGTCTCCTCCCCGACCGCGGGAGGGCGTGTTAGGGGAGCAGCTTAGGCAGGCAACGATTGCACCATCCACGGTTTGAAAAGGAAGTCCGGGAAGCGCAAGGAGGAAACTTGTACAACCCAAAGGTTGAGTCCCAGCATCCACACTCGGCCCCTGCAACGACCCTTCCACTCCTACTCGCTGGGTTCCTATCCCTTCCCTTCCATCCCGTCTCAGCCCAACTCTATGCTGGGCACTGGCCCTTTAAGGAGCTGTCACGATGGCGTCGCTGGCCCCGCCCGGCGGGGAGGGCCGAGAGGCAGGGGAGGGGTTGGTGGTGGCTGCGGGGATGGGGCGGGAGGGGGGGTCTGGGTCTATTTTTAGCTTCGGGTCGGGTCACGTGACGGGAGTGACGTCTCCGAATGTTGTTGTTGGTGGCGGCGGCGAGCGGAGCCGGAGGAGCCGCCGCAAAGATGGAGGAGCCGTCGAGGAGGCGCTGCCGTCGCTGCCGCCGCCGCTGCTGCCGCCGCCGCCCGCGAAGCCGGAGCTCGAGCCGCAGCGGGTGAGCGCGCCGCCCCGGCCCAGATCCCGTCTTCCCGGCCCCTTGGACGCGAGGCGGCGCCCCCTCCGCCTTCCGTCTCTGTCCGTAGGCTCCCAGCGCGCGCGCCGAGCTCCGCGCCCCCCTTCCTTCCTCCTGGGCCCGGGTGCCAGCCGGCGCTCCCCGGGAGCGTCGCCAGCCCGGGAGCTGGGCATCGGGGTTGCTGCGCGCGCCCCTCCCTGCTCCTCCCAGACAGGGGCGCCTTCCCTGCAGGTAAGGGAGGGGCCCGCCTTCCTGCGCCCCCAAATGGCTCAGAGACCGGCCGGGGTTGTCAGATTTGCCCCTTCCCTGGCGGCGCATGTTGCGTTGCAGAGCCATTTGAGCCCTGCACCCGGATTCTGTGCAGACCCCTCTTCGCTGGACACCCCTTTCTTGGTACTCTGAGGTGAGGTGTGCTGCCCACCCACAGCGCTTCTCCCCATAGCTACGAACGCATCCTTATTTTATGTCCTTGACTTGTGTGCATGAGGAGGGGGACTGCGGAGTCCACCTTACTTCTCTCTCCATTATTCTCACCCCGTCTCCTCTGAGGCGTTACTGCGTTTGTTTCCACCCTCTTCTCCTGTCTGACACCCTGGAGCCAGGATGCGAGAGCGAGGAGATGAAATGGAGCTCTGCCCCAACCCCTTCTTGTCTGGGGTGGATGCCCCCCATTTTTCATCCCGGGTCTGTATCTCAAGGAAGCGGGAGCACTACCAGTGTCTTGTTAACTTGGGGGAGTCACCTTCTCCACCCCACCCTTCCCTGGGGCCCTGGGGAAGATGAGAAGTGGCTGGGTGTAATTAATTAATCTGGGAGCCTGGTGGGGGCTGTTGGAGTGGAGAGGTTGGGTGCTTCCTTTGGGAGAGGAGATAACCACCTGATACCCCTGACTGATACCCCCTTCTGAGATGAGGTGTGTCCCTAAAGAGGAAGGGTAACAGCTGCAGTTGCTTTTAGGAGGGTGCAAAAGGGACCCATCACTCTTGTCAGTGACTACCATGCTTTTGGGACCTGGAATTAGATTTGGAGCTTGGGTAGGTGGTGATGATTTGGTTCAGTGTCCAACTGGGAGGGGAGGATGGAGCCAGATTATGGGAACAAAAGGAGGTTGGGGGGAGGGTGAGATCCAGGAGTCTTGGTCAGAGGGACCCCTGGCCAGATTGCCTTGCAGGATTGCAGTCTGGGTCTGGGTCCTGCCTTCGGCCTCCTCTTAGGTTCAGAGGATGTAGGCAGGCAGGGATGGTGTTCAGTCTCCCAAGTCCTAGGCACCCTGAGCCGATGCTGGCTGTTGAGATGCTGGGCTGGGCTGGGCTGGGCTGGGCTGGCTGGGCTGGATGGTGGATGAGCCATGTTGGGGACTGCCTGCTTCTTCATTCCAGTCTTCCCTCCTTCCTCTCCCTTCCTAAACACAAAGCTTGGGGAGATCTTGGTTTGTCTCCTTCCTCTTTTCTTGACTCCTCTCTTTGCCTTCTCTTCACTTGAACTTGCATCTGGGCTTTCTTGACAAGGCAGTAGGGGTCTCTCTGAGTTAGAGAAATGGGCTCCCAGCATCTCCACTCTGTCCTGGGAATGTGGGCATGCCGGAGACCAGAGAGACAGATCTCAGGTGCAGGTTACTTGGGGGCAAGGATGGAGGAAATGTTAGTTCTGTGCCAGCCTCCCCTTCTTCTCCAGTATATCCTCCTACTTTGGCTGGATCGTGTAATTTGGAGGGGGGCAGCAGTTTCACATGCCCCACCCACCCCAAGTAGCTGCAGAGACAAAGGTTTGCTTTCCCTTCTCTAGGGGTGGCATCTTAACTGTGTGTTTAGAAATGGGGCCTGGGAATGTTGGGGGGTGTCATTTGTGTTCCTGCATAGTGAGGGAGGGGAATCAGCTATAGGAGCTGGGGGTAGCGCGGTCGGTGCTGAAGTACCAGCTGCTCTTTAATAATTAATTCTTCCTACTCACATCCCTTTGAGGAGGGATGTCTGGAACACAGCATCAGGCTCAGCCAGCCTGCTAGAGGACGCACTCCTGTTGGTGGCGGTGGTAGGGGGAGGGGGAGACAGCAAGGGGGGGTGGTTCTTGGCATTTTTGGAGCACTGTAGCTTGCTCATGAATGAAAACCTGATGCAGCCGGTGAGGGGGCCTATTGTAGCCGACTTTAGCTAATTGAACTTTCTCTGCCTTTCTTCTTCCCCATCCCACCTCACCCCAGGCCCAGCCCCAGCCCTTTCGTGAATGGGGACCCTGTCTGGTAGTGCTGGGAAGAGGGTATCATTCTGCCTGAGGTTTTAGGGCAAACAGACCCTGTCTTCTGCCCTCTGCCTCCGCCTCCTCCCTTCCTCCCCTCTCACCACCCCCCCTCTTTTTTTTTTTTTTTTTTTCTAGAAATAGCAGCCTCCTCCATCTGGCTTGTGCAGATGCCTGGAGCTGCGTCTGAGCAGACAAACAGAAATGGGCCGATTGCAAAAATGAATTTGTCAGCCTGGTGCCTTTTTTCCTTCCCTGTCACCCTCCCCCTTTCCCTGGTTTGGGGCCTGGACATCCGACTCTGCCACCCTTCATGGCTCTGATACTTCTGGGTTTCTGTTGGCGTAGCTTGAGGGAGACACTAGGCAACAGAAGCTCTCGGAGGCTGAGGAAAGTGGTAGGCTGTGGCCATGGTCAGGAAGGGTCAAGATAAGTCCCTAGTGCCTATGACCTTTGGGTGGGATGTCTTGGCTTGTAACTTTTTTTTTTTTTGAGACGTAATTTCACTCTTATTGCCTAGGCTGGAGTGCAGTGGCGCCGTCTTGGCTCACCACAACCTCTGCCTCCGGGTTCAAGTAATTCTCCTGCCTCAGCCTCCTGAGTAGCTGGGATTACAGGCATGCACCACTATGCCTGGCCAATTTTGTATTTTTTTAGTAGAGACAGGGTTTCTCCATTTTGATCAGGCTGGTCTGGAACTCCTGACCTCAGGTGATCCTCCCACCTTGGCCTCCCAAAGTGCTGGGATTACAGGCGTGAGCCACCGTGCCTGGCCGGTTTGTAACTTTTTGATGAGGTTGTTGAGGTAGAGTGAAACAATCTCAGACTCCCAAGACTTGGTTCACACTGCTTGACCCTGTCACCTATGACCTAGGGGGTGCCCTGGCCTGGAGCCAGAGCAGGTGTGTTGGGAGGGGTTGCATGGTGGTACTGGAGTCCAGGTTCCAGAGAGGGTCTCCAAGGGACACCTGACTCCCCAGTAATTTTGAGGGAGTTGTTCGAGTGACAAGATCGCTACAGGGTAACATTGTGAACCTATGGCCTTTGGAGCATTGCATTGTACCATGTGCCCCTCACTTGTCTGTCCTCCTCCCACCCTTTGCCAGAGTTTGGGGTTTCCGCCCTACTTCCCCAGGCTCAGCCCTGAGCTTGTAGGGTGAGATGCAGCCCGTTTCCTTCATTCATCCTAGCCCAGCTGTCTTGGCTGGATGTGGGAGGTGGTTTTGGATCCTGGAGTAGGGTAGGGGTCTGTCTGGAAGAAAGAGTTGGTGTGAGGTAGTGGGGCAGGACGCTTGGGGTGGGCAAGGGGTCTGCCTACTTATGATGTCCTGGAAGTTGGGCCGCTCCCTGGTTTGGCATCCAAGTGTTAGGTCATCTGGGACACAGCTCCTGGTCCCTGACTGCCCACTGAGACCCAACGGATTTCTCTGCAGATGTGGGAACAAACAGCTCAGGTTTAAAACATCAGACTCCCCTTCTCCCCTTCATGCCCCACCCCAGACAAGAATCTGTGCTTGTCCCAATCAGACCGTGAACACTGCTTTGTTTCTCAGGGAGGCCCAGCCTGTGGCTCTGGTTCACTTGGGAGACTTGATGGGGGTGTTGGCAGACACTCTTTACAGGTGGACAGGGGCCCAGGGATCTTGCTGAATTTTATAGGATAGGGAGGAGTAGATGTACCTGAGTCCTGAGCCCACCATGAATTCAAGGAGCTACTCCCTTCCTCTTCTGCCTCAGGGGTGAGGATCAGCGCCTTTAAGACCCAGAGAGACAGTGGGTGGCTTAGGATGATGGGGGCTGGGGGCTAAGCTTAATCTGGTTTCTATGCCGCTTGGGGCTGTGCCCCTTCTGAGCACCTTGTTGTGGAGGTGCCTCTCAATGTGGAGATGGGCTGGGCTACTCAGGCTTCTGGGAATCGTGGGAATTTCTGAACCTGTGTTCCCCAGCCCACGGGAAAGGGTGTGAGTGGGACTGGGCGCCAGCCCTGGTGTGGGCGCAGGCCGAACTGCCTGCCCAAATGGGCCCTGCCAGAGCACCAGCAGCCCTACCTGCCACATTCCTGAGCTTGGCCTCAGTCCTGCCTGTGTAGCCTTTTTTGTCCTAATCCCATACCTGTGCCTGTCAGGAGCAATTTAGCCCCTTTAACTCTGCCCCCCAATCTGAGTGTACCTTTCTCCAGCCGTAGAGTCCAAGCCCTATGGGCAAGAGCAGACAGCAGCAAGCCTGGGACCTCAAGGTCTCGTGTGTGCATGTGCGCGCGTGTGTGCATGTGCGCGCGTGTGCGCATGTGTATTCACGTTCTTGTGTTTCTGCCATAGCTGGCTTCTGGACTCCAAATGGACCCCACCCTTGGGAATCTGATGAGAATGCAAGGCTTACTGAGAATTAATCCTGCCAGGAGGTGGGGCTGTCTAGGTTGGGCAGAGCTGATTGCTGGTTCGAGGCTTGGGGAGCAGAGTTAGGGCTTAAACTCGCAGCAGCTCACAGCCTCCTCTGATGGCTTCCTTCTACCTTGCTTTCATTGGGTATTGGAAGGCCTGCCTTCATTTGGAAGCAAATGAATGAGATCATGTCTGGGGTGGATCGTGGGCTGTTAAGGGATGGACCAGGTGGCTGTGTGCATAGTGTCTGAGGCTTGAGGACTAACTGTGGGGGAGAGCTGGAGGAGTGGGCATGGGTTGGCAAAGCCATGGTCCTGTAATACCTCCTCCTTTACTATGCTGGCCTCAGCAGGGTTACCGCTGGGCCTTTTGTTGCTTTTGTACAAACTGGGAAAAAATTGTCCCTTGTTTTGGGTGGACTCAGCATGTCAGGCCGTGGCTTGGCAGGCAGGGCACAGGCTGGATTTTATACCTCCCTGGGCCAGACCTCCTTACACAGAGCACAACCTGTACAATATACAGAAAGCCCTGGGCTTGGGCCCTGTACCTGCCAGGCCAGGGGTACTAGATTTGGAATGGAGAGGTCTCTGATTTTCTCAGTTCCTGGAAAGAGAAGCTATTGTCCTGGTCTGTTGTTGAACTGGGCGAGACCAAAACGGAAATACATCCATATTTCCAGAGTTGGGTGGCACAAGGATCAGAAAGTCAGGAGAAGACCCCTAGAAGTCCCAGCTTAGGCTATGGAGGCTGGGATACCAGTTTCTCCCTTAATTTCTGCCAGGGACTCTAGATCAGCCCTGCATCTCCCCACTGCTATGGACAGAGATCAGAAGCCCCCTGCACTTTCTCCTTTGGTGCACACCTAGTACCATGGCAGGCACTGTTGGGAGTCTATAGGGTCTCCCCACCTGGCAGTAGACACTCACCTGAAAAGAGGTCTGTTGGGTTTGACCACCATAGCCATTTCCTATCTTTTGGGCTCTGGGAGCCTCATAGTTAGTAAGATAAGAAACCGGGCGCGGTGGCTCAAGCCTGTGATCCCAGCACTTTGGGAGGCCGAGCTGGGCGGATCACGAGGTCAGGAGATTGAGACCATCCTGGCTAACCCGGTGAAGCCCCATCTCTACTAAAAAATACAAAAAACTAGCCGGGCGAGGTGGCGGGCGCCTGTAGTCCCAGCTACTCGGGAGGCTGAGGCAGGAGAATGGCGTGAACCCGGGAGGCGGAGCTTGCAGTGAGCGGAGCTCCGTCTCAAAAAAAAGAAAAAAAAGAAAGAAACCAGGGTCTATCCAGTTCTGCTGATTTCCACTGTGCCTGTGGGCAGGTATCCCTCCCTCTCATCCCTCTCATCCCTCTCATCCCCAGGTATAAACTGACAAGCTCCAAGGTCTCCTTCGACTCTCAGATTCCTGAGTTAGGGGCCTCTAACCCTGCTCCATCTCTCCCCAGGGATGCCGTTCTGAGTGCCTGACTGCCTCGCCCCGAAGGATGGCCTCGGATGGGCATTAGAGGCACGGCGGCCCCGGGCTCCCGTCCCGTCCGTCTGTCTGTTATCGTCTGTCTCTCTTGACATCACCGCAGCTCCACCCCCTCCCGTCCCAGCCCCCAACGCCAGCTTCCTGCAGGCCCAGAGCCGGCATGAACTCTCCCAACGAGTCGGGTAAGAGCTGGGAGGTTGGAGAAGAGCACCCTGGGGTAGCTTTGGATGCAATGGGCTGTGTGGGTTTCCCTTCCAGGCCAGCTGACCTTTACTGTCTGATCTATAAGGGAATGAGGGGGTCAGGAGTGGAGAGGTGTTGCAAGAAAAGGCCCATGAGGTAGACCTGGGAATTGATGGATTGATGGTCCGACCTGGTCCTGGGAAGGCAATGGGTCCTACTCTGCTCCCCTTGCTTGCCCTCTCAACTTAGGGGTATTCACCTCCACCTCTGCCTTCCCCTGCTAGCCAAGACAGGCGGGCCTGAAGGGGCAGTGTGTATCCCTGAATCTCTCTCGGCAGTCTGAGACGAAGTTGGAGGAATTTCTTTACTATAGCAGAATGCCCAGCTTCCTTTTTGTGGTGGTGGCTTCTTTACTTGGTGGAATGTTTGTGTTCCACACTTTTTTCTTAGTGGAGGTTTACAAGGGCACTGGGCCTTAACCTCCGTGTATGGGTGTGTGGTGTTGGGTGGGAGTGGGGTGACGTGGGTAGAGGAGTCTCGGCTCTCCTCTGAATCCAGGTAGACTGCCTCTCTTCCTCTTGGGCCGTTCATATGATAGATTGCTAATCTGGGGTCTTTTACTCTGAGATTTCCTGTTCCTCTCTGCTTCTAGGACCCTGTCCAGTGCTGCCAGAAATAGTCTATTGGGGGGACTCCAGGCAGCTTGATGTGCAGCTGCTTCTGGATGTGTGCCTGTGAGGCTGTGTTCTAGTGGCCTGAGCTGGACCCTCAGCAGTTTCCCAGGAGGGTCGTGAGCCAGTGTGGTCAGAGTCATGGCTGTCTCCTCCTCTTTGACTGTCTCCTTCTGCAAGGTGTTAAAGGTCCATCTTGCTCAACTTTAGCCGTCCATGGCCCATAATACGCTCCATCTTTTTATGTAGGGGTGAGTGGATATTTCTCCTTTTAGAGAAAGGGCAATTAGGGCCTAGGATGAATACCCATTTGCAGGATTGTACGGAAGCAGCATGAGGGAGGAATCCAGACCACCCCACATTTTCTTCCCCGTCATCCTTCCTGCAGGGTTTGCGATTCCCCCTCAGATATTCCTGCCTCTGCCCTTGCCCTCATTCAGCCCATAGGGGCTGGACTGGGTGGGCTGCCCGGCTCTGCCTTCTTGCTTCCCCCTCTGAGACTGGATGGCGAAGGGAAAGGAGAGGCCTGGGTCCTCATCTGTCCCTCGTGCATCTCGGTTGAACACTACCCCAGCAAGCTCAGCCATGTTGGGCAGTAGTGCCAGCTGCTTCTTTCCTCTGAGTTGTGACGCTGACCTGTCCAGGAGCCATCTCCAGTCCGTGCTTCCCGTGGGGCTGGGGACTAACTCTTGGCCATGGGAATTGAAGCTGCCGAGAGGCATCTGTTGGTGGCTTGGAGAGGATTTTTCCCAGGTTTGGGGTTTCTTTCCCTCTAAGGGAAATGTGATAAGCAACCCAGGATAGATGAAGTTATTGGGTTACCTTTCCAGACGCTGGCGGTCTGAGTTTCCCTTGCAGCTACCTCTGCGGGAGCTGACAGGAGTGTTGGAGTTGCTGGACGTGTCCACCAGTGTAGGAGGCCAGTGGCTTAAGAGCCACTGCTGAGCCCTGGCCAGGAGGGCATCCTGAGTGGGCCTGTGGAGTGGGCCCCGCCTCCTGGCTGGCTTTCCAGCTCCCCCCAGCAGGGGGAGATGCTGTCTTCTCTGTGTTGGGGAAAGAGGGAGAAAAGGAGGGGGCCAGGGATTGGGAACCTCATTTTAGGATTGTTGAGAGGCTTTGGAGCTGGGGCAGCTGCTTAGGGATGTTTGCTTGAGGCCCTTCCTGCGGAGTGTTTCTGGGGTTCTGGGACTGGCTTTCCCAGTTGTGGGGTTCCAGCTGCCCTGGGCCAGGGAGATAGCCAGCCTGCCCACAGCTCTTTCTTTCTGAGGGGCCTAGCGTCTGCCATTCCCAGAGCTTGGGCTGGCATCTGGGCTAGGACTGGGTTGCCCAGCGCCTGGCAGAAGCCTGGAAACCACATGCCTTGGAACTCGGCGGAAGCAAAATGAAACCACTGATTGTAGCCAGAGCACGTGGGTGTCCACTCCCCGTAGACACCCTGCAGCGAGCCCCAAGAAGGAAAGGTATGGGCCACGGGGCAGGAGATAAGAGGTGGGAAGGATGGAAATGGTTAGTCCCCAGGGTCTGCTGCAGCCCCTGAGCGCCTCCTACCTTCTCCTCACTTCCCTGAACACTTGCTCCTCTTTCCCCAGAGTACAGAACAGCAGGCTGGGTAAGGGGCAGAGCTTCTGGTTTCTCTCAAGTCCTCTCAGCGTAGGAGCTTTTCTGTTTGGCAAGTCTTCACTGAGTATCACCAACAGGCTCAACCTGTGGAAGACAGAAGAAAACATGAGATGGGCCATCCCTGGCCCTCACAGTGAACATGTTAGCAAGAGAGACTGTTTCTGGTGAGGGGCAGCAGGTGGAGACTGTGTGTGATTTCCTTTTGGGGCCCACCAGGGAGGTGGGAGCTGATGACTTCCCTCTTTGACTTTATTTACCTCTTTTGCAGTCTTGGAATCACGGGTGGAGGCTATTGATGGGGTTACCTGCTTCCCTGAGACCATTCGCTGATCTCTGCTTTTTCTTCAGGCCAAAGGGGGCTTGAGGATTAAGGCTTTCTTTATTTTTCTGGAACTGATTGCTTCTGCACGTTCTCCTCAGTGGGGCTGAAAGGCTGACAGAAGTTTCCCTCAGCTCAGACTCGGCCCAGCCAGGTTGGAGGAGCCACCCAGGGGCCTGGGACCCAGGCCAGCTTTGGTTGAACCCTCTTCTCGGTGCCATTGCCCAGAAGAGCAGGCAAGAGTGAGGCCCACTGTGCAAGCCAGTCTGGGTGGCACTGGGGCCATGGGGGAGACGGCCAGGATCCTTCTCCCCAGTGTGAGAGGAAGACAAGCTTCAGGACAACACCTGCCTGCCTAGCACCTCCCAGAACCCTTACACTCTCTCTTTCCCTTTCCCAGGATGGAGGGCAGCAGCCCCCGCCAACCCCTGCTCTCTGGGTGACCAAAGAAACTGGGGCATGGGTGTAGGATGGAGCCAGGAACCTCGGTGTCCTGCCTCCCAGCCTTGGGCTCTGCCTCTAAGCCCCCGGGGAAGGCAGGCAGTGAGAAAGTGGGTCAGTCCTGGCATGGGGCTGGGGTCTAGGAAGTGGACTCCTGGCCTCCCTTCTCTACAGAGGTGTGTCCCCCGACACACGGGACTCACGGCAGAGTGGGACCTGCTTCTCCCCTCCTCTTCCCTGCTCTGTCATTCCAAAGGGATTGAAGGCTTAGAATGGAATGGCCAGAGAAGGCAGGGTCAACCCTGAGGGAAAGTAGAAGATGCCAAAGTAGGTGTTCACATTTTTTCTGAACTTGGCTTCAAATGAGAGCGTTCAGCCAATACTTAGCATGGGGCCTGGCACATGGCAGCTCCCAGACCATGCTGATGGGCTCCAGCACGACTGGGCTCGAAGGGCAGGAAAGAACAGGAGGGCGGGCAGGCCTGATGTCTGGGGCTCAGGGAAGCTGGCATCTCACACTCCATCCAGGGTGCTCCTGGGCCAGCCCTTGGCTTTTTCACTGTGTACTAAGCAGACTTTGCTTTCTTTTGGTCAGGGTCCCCCATCCCCCACAGCCTTTGGGCTCAGGAAATGGAACCTGGAGCCAGGGTTAGGTGCTTTCCTCCTTCAGATTCAGAGGGCTAGGAGGTCAGAGTGCAGCCTTTGAGGGAGGGGCAGAGTGAGTCTGGGGAGGACAGTCCTGGCTCTGGGTGAAGCTCATGTGCCCCATGCTTCGTGAGTGCTCCATAAGGTTTGTGGGATGATACATGGGTGTGCTGGATGGGAGAGAATGGAAAAGAGAAGTGAACTGCAAGGAGGGGGGCTAAAGCATGAAGGATTGAAGTTAGACATTAGGAGGACCTTGTATCACCTGAATCTCAGAAGAAAAAAAGACATTTGTCCGTATCCCAAACCTCCTCTCTTATTCCCTTGGAGGGTTCTGGGAATTGCACTGAGGATTTTCTGGCTGTGTCTGACTCTTTGCTTCCTGTTTCTTGGAGGCTGTAATGGTGCTGGGAGCTGGCTGCCCAGCTCCCAGCTCCAGCTACCTGTGGGTGTCCCTGTCCTGGGTGCTCCTATCTTTCCTAAGCAGGAAGGCCTCTTTCTTCGATGTCTGGGTGCTCCAGGTTCTGGGGGCCCTGCTTTTGAGTCCTGGTAACTGATGCCTTCCTCTTTAGAACAAGCCTCTCCTGCCACACTCTCCTATGCCTGGGGGAGGCAGAGAGAGCTGGGACAGGGCTAGCCAGCCCTTCTGGTTGCTCCTAGCGTGGGTGGGTGGAGTCCTGGGCTGGGAGGGGTTGCTGCTCCCAGCTTTCTGGGCTCCCTTTAATCTGCTGCCCATCACCCCACTGATGGAGACCTTCCCTTCCCTTCCTCTTGAGAGAGCCTGGTTGGCCAGGATGAGGTTGGGGCAAGGGGTGGTGAATAAGATCCCCAGCCATACCATGAGATGTCCACCAGCGCTAGGCCCCTGAGGGAGTACTGCTCCTTGCCCTTTTCCTAGAATCTGCCCGGCTTAGAAGCTGCAGCTCTAGACCGCTGTTTCTTTCCTGGTCCACCACTGGGTACCCTCTAGCAACATATACATCTCGCTAGTCTAGGGCTTGGGAAAGCCTGCCTCTGTCTATAGGTGTGGTCCCCCTAATCCTCCCACTCCCAGCCTGAGGGCAGGAGACCCCTTTGCCATCCCTGATTGGCAGAAGCTGGCTGGGAAGTTGGCTCCAGGAGCCACAGCCACTGTGTCCTTGGTTGGCCAGCTCCTCCTGGGCTCCCAACAAGAGGGTGAGGTCATCCAGTGCAGAGGGAGGACAGGTGTCCCTGGCTGCATGCCTGGAGTGGGGGTCAAGGAGGGGGCTCCAAAATAGCAACTGTGACATCAGGAAGCGGGAGGGGGATGCAGACACAGGAATAACCAGGCTATTAAAAGGCTCTAGTGAGGTCAGGGGGCCAAGTGGGATCTTTGTACCAGTGGGAGGCACAACCTGAAGAGCAGGGGCAGGCCAGTGGTGGGGAGGGTGGGTGAGTGGCTCTGGTCCTCATGGCGCATCAGCCCCAGGACCGAGGGAGCAGGGGCTGTGCTGCCAGGCCTGGGGCTGACTGATGGGGAATGGCTGGATGCTGAAAAACTCTTGACTCTCCTTAGTGAGGCTCCATCCTCAAGTCTCTTCCTACTTGAGCACAGGGGTCATTATACCTGTTAATAGAAACCCTGGGAAATGGGAGGCAGTGGAGTGTGGTGGTTAGAGCTCAGACTTGAGCCCCAGACATCCCAGCCCTGCCATGTAAGCAGCTGTATGACCTAGCGTGAGTGACTTCATCTCCCTGTGCCTCAGTTTTCTCATCTGTACCTCTCTCCTAAGGTCACCACACAGAATAAATGAGATGATGTATATGATGTTCTTAGCACTGCACCTGGCACATTGCCAGGGAGGAGCTACCTGTGCTATGAGAATTGGCAGATGTTCCCTGGTCACCTTTCCTGGACTGGGGTGAGGAAAGGGGACCAGGGGACACCTGTCTGCCCAGGAAGAGTATCCCTACAACCTAGAAAGAAGCTGAGGCTGAGCAGCCTCTGGAGGCGACACTCCAGAATGAGCAGGAGTGTTTAGGGGACTCTGTTGGTTGAAGGGGTGGGGAGGCACCTCTCAACTCTGTGGGAGGGCAGAAGTTAAGCAAACCTCCATGGGGCTATTAGAAATCCAGGGAAAGTGCCTGTCTGCCAGCCTCTCCCAGGCCCTTCTGATTCCTTTACCTGCTTTGGAAGGCAAGAAGGAAGACGGAGGCTTGAGTCTGGCTTCTTGGTCTCCATCCCCTGGCTTGCTTGCCAAGAGTAGCAGCCAGAGCCGCTCCCAGATGCATGGGTACCCCAGCCGGTGTCCTTCCCCAGCCCAGCCTCTGGCCACCCAGCGCTGTGGCCTTGGCCCTGAGTGCAGGCCCTCCCCTGTTCCCATCCCCCTCGCCTGGCGCTTCCTCCTGGGGTAGAACCGCCTCCCCCCCCCCATGGGGCCTCCTGGCAGCCGGCCCGCAGCTCCCTGAGCATGCTCCACCTATTTATAGACAGGGCCCTCCCCCAACTGCTATTTCAGTCTTCTGCCAGCTGCCGGCGGCGGCTCATTCGGGAAGGAGGAGCAGGGAGCCGGGCCCAGAGCTGTCACCCAGGGTTGGGAGGGAACACAGAGCCCGCCTGCCCGCTGAGCTCCCCTTCCTGTCCCAAGTGCTCATACCCCAGCTCCTAGGAATCAGGGAGAGGCTGGTGGTCAGATGCCCCTCTAGAGCAGAGCTGGGCCTGTACCTCTAGGGACTCCCTGCCCCTCCTGCCGCCAGGAGTGCCCAGGCCGGATGAGGCACTTCCCCACAGTGCGGGTCCCATCGGCAGTGGCCTGAGGGAACCTGCGCAGTGCGGGCTGCCGGACCACCTTCCCTTCAGCCTGCTCCCCGCCTCTGGCGGCCCCCTCCCTGGCATGCTGCTGGTGCCCAAGGCTCAGGGGCTCATGGAGATGCTGCAGACCATCTATGAGACAGAATCCTGTTTCTCAGCAGATGGGATGTCAGGCCGGGAACCATCCTTGGAAATCCTGCCGCGGACTTCTCTGCACAGCATCCCTGTGACAGGTAAGTGCCTTGGTGTCCCTGCCTGCCCTCTGTCATCAGGCATCCTTGTCCCTGGGCTGAGCATCTGGCCCTGAGCCTTGCATAGATACGGTCCTGCATAGATCTGTCTTGAGAGTTTTGTTGAGAATACACGGGGCTGGGGGATCCCTGCTCAGAGAGGCCCCTGTCCTCCCTGCCTAGAACCTGCTGCTCCCCTGTGCCCCGCAGCTGTACTCTGCTGCATCTCTTCCAGTCTCTTCGGTCTCTGGCAGGGTCAGCATCCGCTGCTGGGGGCTGGGGGTTACTGGAGGATCCTGGCCTAGTTGGCACTGTGGTCAGAGGGGAGGAAGTGGGTCAGTGACCCGCCTCCACGCTGCCCGCTCCCCAGGTTTGGACAAGGGAAGAAGGCATAGCTGGGTGTCCACAAGAATAAAGGTTACCCCAGCTCCTCTGTCTTGGTTCTTGGGCTAGAGGATCGAGTACAGTGACTTCCACAAGTCCCCAGCCAGGAGTCTCCTGAGAATCAGACACTTGGGGAGGCTTGGTGCAGTTGTGATGGAGTTAGGCAGAGGCTGCCAACTCGGAAATTGAGGGGCTTGGCTGCCTTAGCCCCTAGCTGGCTCCCGATAGCGCTTTTCTCCCCATGTCTGGGTTGATTCCCATCTCATGAGGATGAAGAGGTGTTACTCTGGCTCAGATGGGCTTCAGGACCCCCTAATCCTGCCACCTTCTCAGCAGGAACTTTTTTGGCTCTTGGCTAGGGGTGGGGTCCCCCAGAGCTGGGCCACTCCTTCCCTCACTCTCGGGAACCTGCTGGCAGCATCAAGCCTTCTTGGCACAGCCTCCCCACCAGGCCGGCACCACAAGATGCTTCCTCCAGGGAGGGGCCTGCTGGACCTATGCCTGCTCAGCCCCTCCTGGCAGTGGCTTGGCACTCAAGTGTGGGTGTCTGTGTGTGTGCATGTGAATGGGGAGTCCTTGCTTCTGGATATGTGGGTGTGCATCCCAAGCTTCACATTGGAAGGTGGGAACTGTGTGCCTCTGCAGGTGCCTGTGATTTGGCTCTGAGCTACCCAGGGATAAGGTTGCAATGGGACTTGGATGTGTCAGAGCATGAATGTTTTGGGAAGATTCAAAAAATCTCTGGAACATGGACTGTCATCTGCCCAGGCAGGGATGCCCATGCAGTGTTCTCATGTAGAGGCATGGCCCTGAAGACTAGCCCTGCAGGGTATCCATGCAGGCCCCGGGGATAGGGGCATTACCCTGGGGCCAGCCCTGTAGGCTGGGGTGGGGATGGGGGCGTAACCTTGGGGACCAGCTCTACAAGATACCCACGTAGTCCCCTGAGGTAGGGGCATATGCCTGGGGGCCACCTACACAGGTCCCTGGGATGAGGAATAAACCCAGAGGGCTGGTTCTTATCCTAGTCTGGAGTCCACAGGTCCAACTAAAGACGCTGCCTACTGGCCCCCAGCCCATGGCCTCTGGGACTCAAGGTGGTCTCTTGGAAGACAGAATAATCACAGAGCATCTTCTTGGGACAGCTCCACCTTATCTGGCTTATCAGGTCCACCCATCCTGCCCTGTCCCCTCTGTTCTTTGCTACCAGCAGGAGCCAGCAGTTGGCCGGAAGTTTCCTCCCCAGCTTGTTCACTCAACTCCTTTTGTACCCCAGAAACCTTGCAGGCTGGGACCCTGCTCTCTCATCTCCTCCCTAGGCCTGGCTGCCCCTGCATGGACTCCCAGGCAGCCCCTCTCTCCAAATCCCTGTCTCCCCGCTTCACCCCCAACACTGGCTGGCCTTCAGAGTGGTGGCTTGGTCCATGCTGGCAGGAGGGAGGCGTGAGTCACCTCAGCGGCTCGGCTCGGGGAGAGGGCTAAGAATGTTCCCCCTGCGCAGCTCTGATGCTGTGTCTGTGACGCGGCTAGGGACAGATATAGGCCTGGAGCTTGGCTGCCTTGTTTTTTTTTTTTTTTGGACTCTGGAATGTAAATAGATGTTTCAAATAGAAACACTTTAACCTTTGGGTTAAAAAAAATCCACCCCGGATAAACACGGCCATGAGGGCCCAGGCAGCCTGGTGTTTCCCTCCCCACCCGCTTTCCCCGTCTCTTGGTCGGTCTCCAGACAGGATGCAAGAGCCTATGGCTGAAAAAGCAGGTGTCCAGGGAAGCTTCTTGGGACAGTCTGAATTGTGCAGGTCTCCCAAGCCCAGGGGGTTGGAGCAAGGGTCTTTCGAGGGTGGTGCCTGCCTGCCACCTCCAGCAGCATCTTTGGAACCCTATTTTAGGGACAGCCTTTGCTCTCTGGGCTGTCTTGGTTGCTGCCATTGCCCAGCACCTAGCACAGTGCCTGGCACATGGATGAATGAATGTCGCATGGGGAGGGCTGGAGTCCAGAATTGCTGGCAGGATTCCTGGGCTCTATTCTGGGGCTTGGACCTCTGGTTGAATAGAGACAGCTTTAGTGAGTCACCCCAGCGGGTGAGACAGAGCCTTAGCCTACCGAAGGACAGGGGCACTCTGCTGTTCTTGCTTGAAGAGCGGGGCAGATCTCAGCATCTGCTCTTAGCGATCAGAGGTCTCCCTTGATGGATGGGGTCTCTGCCTGGCCACCCTGCCACAGCCCCCCAGTACACAGTGAGCACCACCATCATCCAAGCTTATTTCTGGCTTAGGGAGCCTGGGAGTTTGAACTCTAGTCTGGGATTCTCAAGGACACAGAGGTGGGGAATTTTCTGCCTCCCTTATGTAGACCCTGGATTCCCCTTTGTCCTGTACTGGGTGGAGCTGATGCTCAGACAATATGCAGGCTTTATGAGACAGCATGGAGGAGGAGTCTGCTTTTCCCATGGAGGGAGGGTGTGAATCCTGCTTGTGCCAGGAAGGAATGCTGTGGACACTGGGAAGTGCCATGGGGTCCAAGTTTGGTCTTAGGGCTTCCCCTGGATATTCTTGTTTGTGCTTTTCAGACTTTCTGAGTTTGGCTGTGTGTGTAGGTATGTAGTGCCAGGAGGGAAGAAGTGCAAGACTCAGGGGTGAGATGGAACTATCATAATGCACTAAGTGACAAGGCTATCAGGTACTTTCCCTACTTTTTTTTTTTTTTTTTTGAAATGGAGTCTCACTGTTTTGCCCAGGCTAGGGTACAGTGGTGCGATCTCGGGTTGCCACAACCTCCACCTCCTGGGTTCAAGCGATTCTCCTGCCTCAGCCTACCGAGTAGCTGGGACTGCAGGTGCATGCCACCATGCCTGGCTAATTTTTGTATTTTTAGTAGAGACAGGGTTTCACTATGTTGGCCAGGCTGGTCTCGAACTTCTGTCCTTGTGATCCGCCTGCCTCAGCTTCCCACAGTGTTGGGATTACAGACATGAGCCACCACACCTGGCCCTTGCCATATCTCTTTTAGGAAAGTATTGATAGCTGTGGTGTACAATTGAGAAGGATCAGAGAGGTTAAGGAACTTACTGGACATGGTGGCTCATACCTGTAATCCCAGCACTTTGGAAGACTGAGGGAGGAGGATCACTTCAGGCCAGGAGTTTGAGACCAGCCTGCACAGCATAACCAGACCCTGTCTCTACAAGAAAATGTTTTTAAAAAGTTATCCAGGCATAGTGGCATGCACCTGTAGTTCTACCTACTCAGGAGGCTGAGGCAGGAGGATTGCTTGAGCCCAGGAGTTTGAGGCTGCAATGAGCCATGATCACTGCGTTCCAGCCTGGGTGCTATAACAAGACCCTATCTCTTAAAAAAAGGGAATCTGCCCAAGATCACAGAGTAAGTGAGAGCTGGAATTTGAACTCAGGTCTCTGGGTAGGACCGTTGCTAATCTACATAAAAGCTGCTTTTGGTGGGCTGGGTGGCTCACACGTGTAATCCCGGCACTTTGGGAGGCCTAGGCGGGTGGATCACCTGAGGTCGGGAGTTCGAGACCAGCCTGACCAACATGGAGGAACCCCACCTCTACTAAAAATACAAAAAATTAGCCGGAGTGGTGGTGCATGCCTGTAATCCTAGCTACTCAGGAGGCTGAGGCAGGAGAATCGCTTGAACCTGGGAGGCAGAGGTTGCGGTGAGCTGAGATTGCGCCATTGCACTCTAGCCTGGGCAACGAGAGCAAGACTCTGCCTCAAAAAAAAAAAAGCGCCAGGTGCGGTGGCTCACGCCTGTAATCCCAGCACTTTAGGAGGCTGAGGCGGGTGGATCACAAGGTCAGGAGATCGAGACCATGCTGGCTAACATGGTGAAACCCCATCTCTACTAAAAATACAAAAAATTAGCTGGTGAGGTGGCGGGCGCTTGTAGTCCCAGCTACTTGGGAGGCTGAGGCAGGAGAATGATGTGAACCCGGGAGGCGGAGCTTGCAGTGAGCAGAGATTGTGCCACTGCACTCCAGCCTGGGCGACACAGCGAGACTCCGTCTCAAAAAAAAAAAGCTGCTTTTGTGCAGATTTTTAAAAGGTGGCCCTTCTGGGTAGATACATCCTCATGCCAGTGTGCATGGCCTGGCGATTGGAGCTTGGGTTAGGTTTCAGCCCCAACTCACCCCTTTAGATGAGAGCCCATGTGCAATATGCAACCTACACAGCCTTATGTGCTGGGCCTGTCAGTGCGCTTAGCACAGGAACCATTCTGGCCTCGGGGACCTCCTGGGGTTCTGAGAGAAGGCTTTGTTTTCTGTAAATACTGAGGACCACTTGGTCTCTGATCTTCCTCCCTGAGGGGATTTTAGCCCAAGGAGAGAAGGGGGCTCAGGAACAAAGTTGAACACCAGCCCCCGTACAACCGCCTATAGCCCCTCCCCCGCCTCATCCCCTCTTCTTGTTTTTGAGACCCTCAGCTGTCCCTTCCCTGCCACACAGCTGCCAGACAGGAAATCAGATTAACTGTGTCCACACACACAGCTGTAACAGCTGTTAGGTTGGCAGCAGGCAGCCTGGGGACACTGAGACAGTAGTTCTCAAACTTTTGGTTGCATCAGTATTACCAGAGGAATGTATTAAAATGCAGAT